AAGAGGAAAGGGGGGAGCAGCAGCGTGGTGCACCGGTTAGTTTTACTGAATCCAATTAGTATGAAGCTGATGTCAGTCTATGAGCCAAATGTTGATTAGCAAGATTTTTGTTTCTTCTGGTACAACACTTGCAATTGATTTATAAATTTCAATAACACCTAGGGAGTGATCATGCAGTGGATCTAGAAGATCATTTAGACCTTCCTTCAGTGGCATAACAACCAGATTTACATGTCAAGGTAAGAGTGTTAGAATTTAGTTGTGGTGAATAGAATTGGAATGCTTTCTGATGTGGCATCCAGTGGAAAGAGAGTTTCATATTGGCCCTGCTGAATAATGCTTGCTGATGCGATTTTGCTCTGATTTCTGATTATGGTAACTTAATTTTGGTGGCTTCTGTCAAGTTAGAATTTTAATGCATTTCAGAATGAACCTACAGATCTTGCCGATTAGTTTCTGTTAAGTTTTGCTGTTAATCTCTAATTGTGTCAAGCATTATATTAGTTTTAGAACGCGTCATACCTTTGGCATTTACAAGACGGGGTAAACTGTAAATTCTAACTAGCAGTTTATAGCGAGAACACGCGCTACTGTTGTGTGCTGGGAAAACAATAAACTGAATAGATGTGTATGATTATAGACAAGGCTGATTATAACTGATAGAGCTTGCAGATTGTCTACTACTAAGCTTGATTTACAACTGATAGCCACAGTTTTTTAGGCTTTTAGCTAAGCCATGTACCCTCGTTTGGGTTTCAGTAGCTTGTTGAGTCAGTAGTTGTTCGGTTCAGTCAAGTGTCCACCTAGATTTCAGTTAGGTGCTCAGTTAGAGTCTATTAGAGCATGCAGCAGGTTGTTGCTCATGCCTGAGTCTTAGGAGGCCACTATGGCCATGCTTAGACAGCCACTAGGGCCATGAGCCCATGATCTCTTTCATTTCCGGACAGAAAGTGCTGAAATTCTTAATGGGATGTAGAGATAACTTTGCATTTTCAGCTGACATCTGATTCTTTTCATCAGCCTTTACATTTGTCATGCTTCCTCCTACAGGGTCCTTAAACTGGCAGCTACATACAGGAGCAAGAATAGGAGTTCCCTTTCCCCTCCAGGAAGAATAGCTGTGGCAGTGCTAGGATTTAGCTCTATGCACATTGTTTGAGCGGATGAACCGTTGAATTGTTTGGTACTACTGACCGACTACGTACAGACAACACGCCTCTATCGAGCGCTTAAGGAGGTCGACCTAAAACAGCCGTAGCTGGACCATTCTAGCAAAATACCTCTAGTTCCGATATTACATAAATGGAAAACAACCAAAACCGACGCAACGGTGCGACCTAGGAGGTGACCTTGCGTCTTCGCAGCTGCCTGGATGAGCCCTTTCCACCGTCCGGGAAGAATGTGTCCAATGCTTCGACGTTGGACGCAGTCAGGTTGCCGTCGACGATCTTTTCAAAGGCCTCCAGCTCCGACGCTGATGGCGCTGTTGGACCCTTGGTGTAGCCCGTACGCTGCATGATCAGCACCTCACCTCGCTTGAATACATGTACTTGAGAGAGACTCTAAGTCGCCAACCGCCTGCTCCGTCACGGCAGAACCGGCTTAGCAGGAGGCTCACGAATAAGCCGTTCAAAAAGAGTACACTTACATAAAGGAAGATGATTAGCCGATTTAAAAGATTTTTGGTAACCTAGTGTTTTATTTCTTTAGGTCAGCGCATTACCCAAAATCTTCCCACCTGTTTGCGTGGTCTAGGCACTGGTTGACCCAAAATTAACCCGCTTGCATCATGAGCGCAAATCCTTCCCGTTGCCACCCCGTACCCCACCTTCCTCCCAATAGTGCTTCCTTGTGCTGCAACACAATTCATGACAGCTGATCCCTAAACCCGTCTTCCCCAATGCCACTGCTCCCAACACATGCTCTGTCCTTAAACTTAAACTAATAATATCTTTTCCAGGTAGATGGACATTGCACAAGGGAACTTACCGGGTCAGCTTTCCTCCACCTTTGAGCATAGTGGCATCATACGATTATGGCGAACTGCAGGGCTCCTACAACATCACGAATGAAGCTCCCTTGAAGAATATCATAGACAGCTGGATCCAATTTACTTGCTCCCTGAGCCCAATTAGGATCAACAGAGGCATTGGCCTGTAGTGCATTTAGCTGCTCTATGGTCATGTGAGGGTAGTATGCAATTCTATACATCAGCAGACGTTCCTCCGAGCTGGCGAGCACCGGATGCCCAAGAACAAGCTCGAAGCTGTAAAAAGAATTGAAGCCAGAGACTTGGATCAAATATATTGGCTAAAGGATGAAAAAAAATGCTAACTCAGATGTATATGGCGTAATATCTTGCGTCTTGACACTTCATGAGATGGGTAAGCTCACCGAATTCCAGATCCGCCCATAAAGGAGCAATGTGATTATCTAACAAATCAGCAAACTTCTCTCTGAGTGTCAGCTTGCTATCTGTAGGTAGCCGTGAGTGGATGACAAACGGCAGAATCTTTACAGTTGTACTGATCATGACATAGGTGCTAAGCTTGTCTAGGTCATCACACGTGAAACCCATGCTCCATATGTACTCAATAGCAGTCCATCCTGACCTGCACACCATGAATGTTAAACCATTTATATGACTTCTATGACTTCCAAATCATAAATGTTTACAAACAGATGAACAATGTACCTCACAATATCTTCCCCTGATCAGACAGATAGTCTCCTTTTGGAATTGCCAGGGCACCTTTCTGGTCAAACCACTCTTGCAGTGTAAGGTCAAAGTTCTCGCAAGCAATGACCAACTTGGACAATTGATCACTATCAGCACATGCTTGTGCCTTCAAGATGCCATCATGTTTCAATATCAAGCCTCTATCCACCATCTCCTTCATCTGAGCAGTTCCGCACACTGTTTAATCCAAAACTTGGCATCTACAACTTTCTTCCTCTTCTTGTCCTTCATTTGGATATGCCCAGCCGTATTCAGAAGTCCTTTGATGAAGGCCAGTTGGTCCATGCTAGTTGGCCGTAAAAGGCGCCCAGCTTTTGGTGTTTGGCTGGTGTTATCATTGATGTCTTTTATAAATTCATACAGTTCCATCATAAGACCTGAAGCAAATTTCTTATTTCCAGTCTCTGATGCTTCAGACGCAAATGTGTCCTTGCATGCCTTGATGATATCATGTTCTTTACACTGCAAAAAAGAGTCGTATAAGTCCTTGAGTATGACAGTGTTGGTTTAGAATGATTAATAAACAAATTGATCAAGTTAGGCAGGTGCTATTGATGGAGTGTTGAAAGAGTAACTTTGATCAAACAATAACAGAATAATGAATTTGTTGAATATGGATTTTAATTTATTCACTATAATTATTCCTGTTGCAGGTAACGTGATGAGTAAAACTGTATTTATAACAGGAATGTAGATGGACCTCTGATTTCACATTAAATTTACATACATGAAATGAGAGTAATAACTAAATTTTGAAAAGCCCTATAATAGTAGATGTACAATTGTTGTTGTTTTTTTCTTTACCTTTGCCATCGCGTCACGTCTTGTGACAAAATACGGCTGCGGAAGGGATATCTTCCTGCCTTGAGCTCCTGATCAGCAATGGCACTAGGAAAACTAAGTCAATCCAGATTCGTTTTTCTACACACTAGCAGCAGCAATATGCTCGTGTCAACCTGACAATCCGAAAAGGTTCCCCATCAGTTTTCCTTGCAACCTGACAACCTGTTATGCCCGTGTCACCTTGGCATCTTCAGCATAAACATCAACTGCTTCGGTTGATAAATTAGTCTGGACATTTGCTTTGCGTATTTCAGGTTCTGCTCTCAGGTTGTTCAGCAGGAGGCCTAGCCACATTCTTCCACTGCGACGGCCTTAAAGAGCGGCTTGGAGGCACAATCACGGTGAAATGCCTGAGTGACGCCGGATTTTTCCTTGATCTATAACATTGGATGCCTAGCTACCAAAAATATATTTTTTTTGATTTTTTTTGGTTGATCCGACAAATGCTCGAGATTCTGATATCCTTTCTTTCCAGGAGTGACATTTCTGGGAACAACACCATAAGGCAATTCTATAGCAGGCTACTCTCCCTGCAGGTTTGTCACTACTGTCTCTTTGTCTTTTTGAATTTGGGAACATCTGGTAATAATGTTTCGGAACCATGAGCTTTCCTGTAGGGAGTTCAGAAGCATTTGAACATAGACTGCCTGAATTCAACAGAAAATGCATACCTGGTATATATTCATGGGATTCTTAGCTCACCTTCAGGGTACTAATGGAAATTTTTGCGATGAGCCCATGATCAGTTTTGATGATCCTTGTTTATGCAGTGTTTCTTTCCACAGTTCACACTTACAAACATCGGAACCCCGTTTTTAATCTTGAATTCAGCTTATGATGTATATCAGGTAAATACGACTTGTGCTGCTCAACTTCTCTCGTTTCTAAATAACTTATTAGTATAGTTTTCGACACCTGGGGTATAGTAAAAATGCTGGTTTAACATTTTTGGACAGTTCCATCACATTTTGGCGCCCCCTTCATCTGATCCTAGGGGCCATTGGAGCCGATGTAACTCAGATCCTGGTGCATGCAGCACACCACAGATTGCAACCCTCCAAGGTTAACTTTCTGCTAAACAAATGGTTCAGATTCATATTATACTGAACAATCATCTGCGATGTTCTAAATTGAAACTACTGTTGTCATGGAATGATTCAGATTTTGAATTTTGTTTGCAGGACTGAGAAATGCAAGACATCTCTGAAACAGTTTGAAAGCAAACCAAAGGCAGAGATGTTCATGAACTCCTGCTTTGCACATTGCCAGAGTGAGCTGCAGGACACTTGGTTTGCACCAAATTCTCCATTGATAGATAACAAGGTACTTGTAATTTTTTACCAACAAGCTGTATTGCCAGAAAGTACATGTTCTTTTAGCCATAGGTGGTGCTTTGGTTAACATTTTAGAGTTTCAGGAAATTGCAGAGGTGGTAGATGATTGGTACTTCGAAAGAGGTGCTGCCATGGAGATTGACTGCGCCTATCCTTGTGATTCAACTTGTCACAACCTTATACCATTTGATCAGGTTAGTTTCTTCCGTGAAAAGAGGTTGTTGTTTTGGCAAAATAACTCTACTGGTTAGTAACACTTTAGCCAAAAAATGGAACTGAGAAATAATTGGTCATTGAACATAGGAATTGAGGATTTATTAGTAGTTTGGCAGATGATTATACTCAATTATCATCATAATAGCAAAACTCTCTTCTAATTGGTGATAATATGTTAGTTGCATCTGGTAGCAGGCCAATGATACAAATATATTGGTTCAGACTATAGTTACCTTTTAATTGATTCTTGCTTTGTATGTATCACTGAATATTAAAAAAAGATGAAATCCATATTTTCCAACTTAAACGGCACAAATATTCCCATCTTTCACATTTCACAGTTGGACTATAAACTATACTCTGCAAGGTTGAACTAAAAGTTTCCTACACTACCCTTTTCTGCAGAATGGAATCTCTGGCGCCTGAAATGGACCCTGCTTCAGTAGCATTAACATTTGCCCAAAAAATGATTGATTACCTGTATATATTGCACATTGCATCACAATTCAATTTGGCACATGGATGAATAAAATGTAGAGCCAATGCTCTTGAAAGATATGCAACATTTGGCATGTTTTCCACGACTCCTCTGATTATCAACCATGTCACTAATTCGGTTGACATCGCCAAAAAGGCTAATTCCTAACTACGAAATGAAAAACATAATCAAGAACTTGAAAGTACGCAGCTCAAAAAAGTGACAATTGTAGATGCATGATCAAGAACTTGAAAGTACGCAGCTCAAAAAAGTGACAATTGTAGATGCATGATTAAGATCACGAAATTGGGGTTTCATAACCAAAGACGGTGACTATTCAAAGACAGATTGACCTAAAGCAAAACACAAACCCTAACATATGGTGTGACATTTCAATATAAGGTTGAAGGGTCATCACCCCCTTGGATGTTCCCCCTAACGGGCTCTAAGACGATATACGGCCCAATGGACCGACGGTGACGCAGCACCTTGACAAATTCTGAACATTGACTTATTTCGACGATTCTCGTTGACTCCGGTGAATTTGGACCTCAAACCAAAGTCATTGCTTAGCTTATGAAATTAGTTTTCCATCTATACATAGATCATCGAAAACGGAGTCCGTATGCGTCCCAAGCGTCCGTTTCACTGCAGGCTGGTCCTGAAGGCTGAGGCAAACTTGAACTCGAGTTGGACTAGGCCTCCGTCTTGTCTTGGACGTCCTAGCTGGTCTTCTCCACCTCCACACCTTTCTCCAAGTACTTAATGACCCTCTCCAATGTTCCTAAGTAACATAACATCATTAGATAGCAATGTATTCTCAAATCTATGAAATGATAGCTTAAAAACGAGCTCACATATAAGTTTAATTATTGCATTCGAGCTCGGGTCATTGGACCTTGCATAACGGTTGGAGGATTAGGTGGTGCATCCGAAGAAGTGATGTCCTCATCAGTAGGGAGTGTACAATTTTCACGAGGGTTGCAAAACACATCAGAATTAAATTTGCTCTAGTTATTCCTCGAGCAAAAGCACGACTTCATCCCCTCATTGATTTATTGCTAGAAGCTTATGTGTAATTTTTTTATCTTTTTGTAACATATTTTTTTGTTACTTAATCGTTGTATTTTGAGATCTTCTCCTTTTTGCAATAAAATTCTTGTAGGGGCTCACACCCCTTCTGTTACCTTCAAAACATCTTTTTCCCCATAAACAATGATAAAAGGGATTAAATGTAGAAACCAAACTCTAGCAGATCCTTTTTCCAATCTTTTTCTCCTTTTCTTTCTCAATTTAGAAAACCGTCCCCTCTATTTCCAGGAGAGCAAATTAATCCCCTTTGCCTTTCCCTCCTTTGCATGGAGAGTGGTGTAGTGGCCAAAGACGACAACGACAATGCAGGTTTCGGCATCGGTATAGCAACCGGAGACAACATGACCCAACAAGAGAATGCGATGGCGAAGGGCCACATAGGAAAGCCAGGCAGACACATGGGCCAACCACGCTCGCGCCACCATGCTAGAGAGCATGCGGGCTAGCCACGCCACCACACTAGGCTGGCGCTGGCGAACGGGTTGTGCCACCACTCCGCGCGCGAGCTAGCCGTGTTGCCGCGCTGGGTGAGCATGCGAGTGCTCATGCGGGAGCACGAGGAAAGAGAGAAGGGGAAGTAGAAAGAAGAGTTTTGTCCATTGGCACGTGGCCCCATATAATAAATAAGGTCAACATGGTATAACAGTCCTCCTCTATAATCTGGAATTTTATTTTATTTTTTCAATCCTCTGTAGCAATCGAAATGTAAAGGGAAAATAAGATATAGTCAAGATGCTCTTACGGTGTTTGCAACAGTGAAATCTAAATCGCTAGCTGACGTGGAAGGTAAAGAATAAACAAAACCATAAAACGATAGTATTCTGACCGTGCTAGAGAAAGTGTACAGATGTGGGTCCTGCAGATTCTCTTGGATGGGTTGCGAGACTATCGCTAGCGTCGAGTTTTTTTTACCCTCTCTCACCTCCACGTCGACAAAAACATGATGCCAGCTAGTGATTTCGCTACCTTGTTGGAGGCACCCTTAGGTAGTTATTAGGTTGTTCATGTTTTAGACCGTCTTTTAGGTCCGATTTCACGATGGTTATAAGGATTCAAGTTGCACATGTTTTTGTTGTACTGGTTAGGTATGTAATTTTACCAACTAGCAGACTCATACATAATTTCGTCTATAATGACACTAATAATAGTAGAATACAAACCCACTGAATCGCGGGTTGCAAGTTCTATTGCCATCTCTAACCCACAGGCGGCGCACGAGCGGCACATTTGCCCGCCCGAGCTCCATCCTCATGGCTCATCAAACCGAACCACGACGTGTATGCATCTACCGCTAGAGCCCTACATCAAGTACGATTTGGGATACAGAAAAGGAGAAATGGAGCGAGAAAGGGAAAACACAAGCGGAAGCCGTTATAGGTGGCATTCCACTCTAAAATTTTAGATGAAAAATTACGGCTCTTGACCTCTTCATAGAAGATGTATCAATTTAAAATAACATACACAACCAAAATTCAACACATAAAAAGCATTCAAGCATTGTTGACTAATACAAAATATAAATAGTTATCCGTAAAACGGGAAGAACTCTTTGACTCTTTGATTTTAGAAAATTGGCATGACTTAATTGGCCTGATTATCACCAAAAACCAAACTGATATGCTGAATAGCACCTAGGGCAGTCCCAACCCAATACTAGCGATAGTTTTCATAGAATTAAATTAACCCGTCAGTCACGTAGAATTGTAAGTAGAAAGCTGATGTGACAATAGAGTTATTATGGAGAGTGAACAAAAAGAGAAAAAAACCGTTTCTCATGTGAGAAATGAAGTCAGCTCGTAGTCCAACCCACAAAGAAACTGCAGCTTTTATGTGGAGAAGAAACAAATTGTTTCTTGGATGTGGGGTTGGACTCCTCTGCACGGTTGTGCCCGGCACTCACGCACGTTGTGCTCACTGAGCTTGAATGCTGGTGGGTCACCTCGTCGTGCCTTGCCGCTCGCCTCAGTCGTGTGCTGCAGCCTGCGCACACCATGCTGCCGGCCGCCGCTAGCTAGTCGCACACCCTTTGCCACGCCACGACCACCGTCGTCCGTACTTGCCACCCCAGCCATAGCGGCGTACTCCCTCGTTCTAGAAAAGAATGCAACTGCATGTTGCGTTCTGGCAAAAGTAATTCACATTTAACTAAATTTCTAGTAAATAATATTTACATTTACGGTTCCAAAATAATTTATTAAAAAATACATTTAATAATTAATCTAATGATATTTATTTGATATTATAAATATTAATATTTTTTTATTTATAATTGATCAAACTTAAGCTACTAAACCGCAACACTGTACTAGAATTGCATTCTTTTCTGAACGGAGGGAGTATCTAAACAATAAGTTACTAGGGGCTTCTCTCGTTGCCTTTCATCTCTAACCCATCCTTCCAAGTTCTTTGGGTACCAATTTATAGAGGGAGGGATTAGGAGGGACTATGTTTCGAGTAACGATAGCGAGGCTTGAGACCACTCCATCCCAATGCTAGATCCGACCCTGCTCAGACACATGGGTCATGTTCGTTTCTCTTATAATCCGTACTTTTCAGCTTGTTTTTTCAGTCGGAAGTGTTTTTCTCTCACAACAAACCAGTCGGAACAGTGTTTCGGCTTGTTTTTTCAGCGAAGCGAACGAGGCCATGCTTTGGATAAGCAGAGAGAGCAGACGTGAGGGCCATTTTGGCTAACCTAACTTGACAAGGTGAGTCTCGCCGACACGGGCAAGGTAAGGCAAGCTAAACTATACAACCAAACATGTCCGTAGTTTCTTCTAGAGGTGGTTTCGTGCTAACGTGGTTCCTATGAAATCTGCCCTATTTGGAACATGAGATTTTTTTTCTATTTCTGTATTTTTCCTATGAGAATGAACTTAATCCTGTAAAATTCCTATACGATTTCTGTGAAATTCCCACGTTCTAATCAAGCCCGAGCATGAAAAAACAGGGCCAGAGCGCGAAAGATTGTGCAGGCTTCCGTTGTGGTTCACCTACTATAGTCTGTTAAACTGTTACCACAGGTTAAATTGGAACTAAATTTATGTTTGAAACTAATCATATGCAAACTGGACAAAAAAAAATCCATCTGTGTCGCACGATATGATTCTAATGTTGTACTCTGCGGTATTTCACATGTTTCAACTAGCTAGGCCGGAACTGAACAATACAGTTCAGCTAAATCATGCTAATCTCACACATCCTAACCTGACCGGGTGTGCTTTTGCCATCCGTCTTGAGACTTATGGGCAATCACTTTCATCAATGCCGGGGAAGAACCAGAATGAATCACCGACTGTGAACTCGCCCGGCCACTGCGGCACCGTCTTCCTCATCACCAGCTGATCATCACCGAGCCCCGCGCCCAACTGCGACTCCGTCCAGAACCAAGGTTGCTCGCCACCGCCGCCGCGAAAGCTTAACCCAATGTCCACGTGCAGGAAGCTGCACCTCCACGGCTGGCGCACCACCAGAACTGTGCCCGGCGAGCGGCCCGATGCGGCCGACGCTGGCACGGCCGCCGAACAACCGCGGCCCAGCAGCAGCACGCTGTCGCCGAGACCGCTCGCGGGCGTCGGCACCCACAGCCTCGCCTCCCACCTGAGCCTGTAGAGCCCGAGGCGCTTGTGGTGCTCGTCCGAGACCACGAGGAGGACGTGGCCGAGTGACTCCACGAGGTAGTGGCGCCACCTCTCCCCTTGCGGGAGCGCGAACGCCGTGTCCCTGCGCTCCACCTTGGGCTGCGCGGCGGCGAGGTCCACGCGCCAGAGCTTCCTCCGCTCGTCCATGAGGTACACCGTGGCGCCGACGGACACGAGGTCGCTGCAGGCCGTGTCGTAGCGGAACCCCGGGGCGCGCAGCGTGGCCCAGTCCCCGCCGACGGCGGGGCGGCAGTACTTGATGAGCCTGTCCGTGGCGACCGCGAGGAAGCACCCGGGCTCGCCGAGAGGTGCCGTCAGGACGGCGTGGAAGCCCTCGGTGGGGTCCTCCCCGAACGGCCACGACACGACCACCTGCCCAGCAGAGATGGGGTTCAGCACCAGGAGCCGTCGCGGCGAGTCCGAGGCGGCCAGGACGAGCCAACCGCTGCGGCTCGTGACGTGGCGGTAGGACGCGGGGATCGGGTACGCGTAGGATCTGCCGCCGGGGATGTCGTAGAAGACTCGGCGCTGCGGGGTGCCGGGGGCCGGGGCAGGTCCACGCTCGGCGGACGGCGGCGGCGGGAGCATGAGCCACGGGAAGGGCGGCGGCGCCCGGCCGATGATGCGGCAGGAGCGGCGCCAGGCGCGGCAGACGATGCGGTGGACGAGGTGATCGGCGAAGCGGAGGAAGGGGGCCAGCGCGGCGATGATTTGGTCGCCGGGCAGGAGGTGGCGGCGAACCATATGGCTCCCGGGCTTCGCTGGCGCCGCCATTGCGGCGCGGCGCGAAGGCGAGGGGGTCCGCATGGAGCACGATACGGCGCGCTTCAATTCGTCTCCGCGCCGGTCTCTTGGTGCCGCCCGCCCACGCGCGGGCGCGTGCGTGCCCTTCTATTTGCGTGGCGGAGCCGGCAGATAACGGGGCACCTGCAATCCTGCATCGCGGTCGCGGCGGCGGCTGGCTCTGCCAGCATTAATCTGCTATCGATCTGTAGATACGCAGGCCTAGGTTACAGATACGCTGGAGATTAATGCCCAATTTTTTATTTTTAGCCTTTTTAAAAAATATTTATATTTAAATCTTTGGATGTTTTATTTTTCTTTTTGACCCTGGCTCGACAACCAGATAACACATCTCGGCGCTGTGAACCATGGTGCAGAGATGGAAGCCTGGCGTCCGCGTGGTGGCATAGGTGGCGAAAATGGAGCGGTGACATGGCGGCCCGCTCGACACTGAGATCTATGGTGCCGTGTCCTATGACGCTGAGCCATGAACCCTAGCCAAGCCATTCATTTTTTCCATCCACGGGCTCCCTTTCTCTTTGATTTTGCCAGGTCAGTACCTACTAAAATTGGATCTCTTGAATTAAATCAGTTAGAATTTGTCTAGCCAACAACATGTTATTTTAATCCCTCCCAACAACTAGATTTTTCCCATGCACTTATACTGACTTATAGTTATATTTACACCTCCTTATTACTATATTTACAATGATTTATTCAATGTAATTTATTGCACAGAGTGATGTAATTTGAAAATAACACAAATATATTACAATTTTTTTCTATGAATTCCAGATAGCAGAGAAATATATGTTAAATTGTTCACAAATGCCATCAAATTATTCATAAATTCCAAATCAGACAGAAGGAGGTTTCTCTGCGGGGGCAGACGCCTGGAGCTTCTCCATAGGGGGGGAGAAGGAGGGCCGCAGGGAGGAGGCGGAGAACGAACGCCTAGAACTTCTCTGCGGGGGCGGACGCCTCTGCGAGGGGTGGACGTTGGACCTTCTCTGTAGGGGGGA